AGGCCACAGCTAGCCTGTCCGAGGCCACGCAGCCTTGGCATGGCCTGGGCTGCCACGTACGGTGCTAGCAGCCGAGGCCAGCCTCTTCTTTTCTAGGCTTCCGAAGGCGACGGCCCCCCCTCAGACGCTTCTCGGCGCCTCGCAGAGTGCAACCTTATTGGCATTGGCATCTCCACCTTTGTGGGCTTTAGCACAGGCCACAGTTAGCCTGTCCGAGGCCACGCCTGAGGCTAGAACACCCATCTTCTTTCCGCAGACGGGCAACCACCGGAACGACACTAACGCCTTCAGTTACACATGCTACACTCCTCTTGAAAAGGGGTCGGCGGCACCCGGGCGAAGCCCTTACAATAATTTGTGTTTTTTGATCCCTCTCCCAGAGTCTAGCCAACGTCAGTGTCTCAGAACTTGGGTTCTTGACGTCCTCAGTGGACAGTGGACCCCAATCCGTCGTAGGTCAAACGCATTCTTGCCTCAGCATCTCTGCCAGCAGCACGAGCATCAGCGAGCCATTGGTGAACAGCATTCACAGCCTTGCGGTGGTGGATCAACCGTGGGGACCAGGCTTTCGATCCTGCTTTCCAATAATGGGGCTCTAATTGACATTGTGGCTGGGGGTGCCAGGTCCCAATCGGTCGGTTTGTTGCGTAGCGATGCCTGCCCATGGAGGAAGGGGGACATTAGTTCCTGTCGGTGGAATCGCTCCAAGGTCAACGGAGAATATATAACAACAATGTGCATTGCAGTGCAGTCGGCACCTCTCTCTTCCTTCATGTTCATTTTGGTTCTACAGCCGGGGACCGGAGCCCATCTGCATTTTGCAGGATGGGCCGTGAGCAAGCACTCAGAGCCGCGCGCTCCGTCGGCTGCTCGCAAGATGTCGCCGGGTATCACAGACTTTGGTTCTGAGTCGTCAAAAATCAAATTGACAGGTAAAGCTAAGCTACACGTTGCAAATCCTTCATGATCCGTGGCATTTCATGGCTCAACTTCTGAAAACCTTTTCCTGTACACGCTGACCGGTGAAGTCTTCAACTGCCCCAACAAGGCCCCCTTATGCAGCCCTTGCTCAGCTTCTGGACCGCTCACGGCTTGTGGAGGTCTGGCGCTCTGGGGCGGTGTTTGCTCGGCTCTTCTCCAAGCCGCTGTTCGCCCTGAACATGGAGATGTGAAGGGATCCGCCTTGGAAAACCCATGCTGCCTATCTCAGGTGGTAGTCAAGCTGTTCCTTCAGCAGTTGGATTTGCACAGCAACAAAGGGTCCAGAAAAGGTGGGATTCAAGGACCAATGCGTTTCACACAGTTGAACTCATCCAGAAGAGAGGCAAGAGAATTGTCTCCTGAAATCTGTCCCTGAGTTGGTCCCGCAGCAGTGGTCCCCCACCCAGATTGGCGGTGTCTGAACCCTTCAAAAGATCCGGTCTAGCGTCTCTCCTGAGCATTGATTGGAAACCAAATGCACAATTACAGCGCTTGGGTGTTGTCCCATTCAAAACCTTGTGAACTCGTGGTCATTTGGCCCAAAGCCCATGTCAACCGGCCTCACATGCTCCTTCACTTTGCCCCAGCGAGCATTGGTCGCAGGGCTTGGCGCCGGGCTGGTGATCTGGCGCGGTCCTGGAAAAGCCAAGGCGGAACCTACCCTGGGTCGACTCGCATGGACATCTTGATGGATTTTGACTTTCACCTTCCTCACCTGATGTGCTGTGCGACATGGTTAACCCGTGAGAGTGACCATACTATACCATACTTAGGTAGGTCGTGTTCATGTGCATAGCCTATCTTCAATCGTCCATATATATATATAGTTATATAATGACGTTTATTTTTTTTACTTATATCTAGATATGCTCACGTCCCAGGCGACGTAGCACTTCCTTTAATCACCTCCTCTCCTCCGCTCTTGTTCCCTGAGATGTGCGCTAAAAGCTCTGGGCTGCGGTAGATGCGAATCAATTCCTTGCAGCTGGGTGACGGGGCAGGATACTGCCCAAGAAGTTACTACCGAACTACCAAGAACACGACTTGGACTTGGCACTGGTCCTGCTGTTGAAGGGGGAGCACTCACACCATCACCAAAGAGTGTTTTAGGAGCCAGCCATTAGTTCTTCGGTTACGAATTGTAGGTCTGAGCCGAGCTGTAAAATAGAGCAGTTGGAGCAGCTGCCAAGTCGCGTGATATAACATCCACTCAGCATCAAGATTGCCTTGGACACGTGCCAGGTAAATGCCATCGCACAAATCCAGCAGCAGGTCCGTATCAGAGACTTCCTCCAGGCCAGGTCGTGTGTGAAACCAGGAACAACATGTTCATGAGACTTCATAGGCTTTTCCTTCGGGTCTTCCTTCGGGTCAAAAGTCAACACCGCCTTGCTACCTAAGGTGCCCCCCTCACAACTACATTCGTCCAACATCCATTCGCTGACGGAGCTCCTTTCCCAGTGCTCTGCCCTGTCATCCCCACCTCGTAGATCATCCGCTTCGAGCTGCCCTTGAAAAGGCTCCGGAAAAGGTTCCCAATGGTTAAAACCACGCCAAGGTAAAGGCTGTTTATTGACCTTGGCAGAAAGCCCTCAGCTCAGGCGATTCCGCGATGTGGTTCATGTCCTTACAGGTTAAGTTAATGTGGTAGTAGTGGATGCGCTGTGTGTAGCAGCATATTGTTTTGCAGCTGAAGTCAAAGGTTTTTTTTCTACAGTTGGGCCACATATTGTAGTGTAAAGGCGTTTTCTACTACTACCTTCGCTTCCAATGACTCCATGCGTGATGCACGAAACGTTAGACACCAATGGTGTGTGGCAATTTGCAATACCTGCCCAAACTGAAGCCTGACCCATCAAGCCAGGTCTGTGCGCCCCAGAAGCATTTGTTTTTGATTGTTGTTCTTGGTGGTGGAGGAGCTGGACAAGTAGTTGGACACCAGCGTTAGGGTGAGGCTGAGGCTGCTTGTACCTATGCCAGCTGCAGTCTTCTCAGGACCAAAAGTGGCATTCGCGGCATTCCCAGTCACATACCTGAGAGATACGCAGCGGACATGCGGCAAACAGAAGGCAAGGTTACTATCCTCAAGACCTATTTGCTACCCAACAATCTTGAAATAGTTGCTCCTTCGTTACTTTGTTTTATTGATTACTGATACCTCTCCTTGCAGGTTACTCTTTCACTATTCATTTAGCTCTGCGTTATTCTACTTTTGGTTCGCACACGTTTGCACTTCCATAATTGTTAATTAGACAATTCCTTTGCTAAAATGGTTTGTCTCGTCTTCTGTATTTTTCTATGTTGTCGCCCAGCCCCCCCCAACGGACCACGCAGTGGCTGCGCGTGCCAGGTTTTGGGCTTGCTGGGTTTGGCAAGCTCGATCAACCGATTCAAAGACCATGCTGAAAGCCATCTTCTCTGCCAAGGTTGATGGCCCTTGCCACTCTTCTTCCGGGGCTCGTTGTTAGCATTTTAGAAGGCGACTGCCCATGAACGTCAGTGCACACCTCGACAACGAATTCGAAGCCGCCCCTAGACCTTCCTCATGCAAGCAGCGCCGCCTCCATGGCTTCAGTGCTGGCGTCGCCTGGTCTCATGTCTGGAGGCCTTCAAGAGGAACATCTGGATCTACATGGCCGGGGGCGTGCGACTTGGCATCATGCCCAGGGCATCCGGCTGGACCACAAGCTGATCTACAGAGACTTTCGATTTGCAGCCCTCAAAGTACCACTTTCTGAGGGCTCACTTTCTCCACAAAGCAACAGAAGTTTCGCTTGGTGGAGCCGCTGTGCGCCAGGCACCCACCAACAGCGAAGCTCTTTTCGCACTTCAAAGCGCTGCATGCGTTCTCCTGGAGTCCAACCACACCCGACGACTTCACGGGCATGTACCTCATTGAGACCTTCGATCACACAGCAGCGAATCGCTGGTCCCCTCTCTTTGCAATATATATATATATATATGCGTCTAACTGCGTGTCTATCATGTCATCCACCAGTGCTTGCTGGCTTGCGACCTATGCGACTCAGCAAAGGCACATCTTGATAGACCTCCCCTGCAAGGAACCTTGTTGGCACACCTTCTGCGCTCCTGCAGGTCAGAACAACTTTTGTTTGCTGACCCCTTCCATGCTACTCAGATTTGAATTATGGTTGGGGCATACTTGTCTGATCCTCTTTCCTTCGCGCAAAAAGAATCTCCACATATCATGGACACCCCGCTCTAGCCGTTCTAGCTCTTCCATGGTCCCAGGTGCCAAATAGCCGGATGTTTGTCTTTCTCGCCGGGCTCAAAGGACAATTGCACGTCGCTGCTCTGGGTCTCCTGCGGAATGGCCGTAGGTCTCTGTGACCCCACAGAATCATTGTGCGCCAAGACTGTCATCTCTTAGTCGCTACGTAGTCTGTGTCACAATTGGTGTGTGGGACAGCCAACGCAATGTAGCACATTCCGACGCGCTGCCCCAACAATCGCGGAAGTGGAGCATAGGCTTCGGATGAGCTGTGGAAGGGGGTCCCAAACGAGTTGACCTTTCAACCGCAAAGTGGAATTCCACTGCACGTACTCACACCTCTCCATATTCCGTTGGGGAATCCTCCGCCTTTCTTTCTTTCGTTCTTTCTTTCTTGCTTTCCTTTCTGTTCTTTT